AGAATACATAATATTCTCAATCACACATAGAGCATTCTGTTCGGATGCTTAACAAGTCTTAATAAATTTAAGGAGACTGAAATCATACAGTGTATATTTTCTGACCAAAATGGAATGAAACTAGAAATCAGAAGCAAAAGTAAAATTGTAAATCCAAAAAATGTGGACATTAAACCCACTCAAACATATTCTTGCTCAAGGATCAGATAATTTCATTTTGTTAAGATGTCAACATGCACAGCCACATACAAATTCAATGTAATATCAGAATCTTCATGGTACTTTTTTTTTGCAGAAATATATTTAAGATTCTCAAATTCTTTTAGGAGCTATAACTAGCAAAACACCCTTTAAAAAGAACAACAAAGAGGTATTACACTTCCTGGTTTTACAACACATTACCCAAAGCTATAAAGATACAAATAATGTGGTATTAGCACAAAGAAAAATAAATGGATGATAAAACAAAATAGAGAGCTCAAAATTAAGCACGTGTGTGTAATCAATGACCTTATATAAGATTGCTATGGCCACACAATGGGGAAGAAAATAGTTTTTTTGACAAATGATGTTGAAACTGAGTATTTACATGAAAAAAATAAAGTTGAGCCCTTCCGTTACATGCACCATATAAAAACAGTATTTAAAATGGATGAAATACTTGAACATAAAAATATAACAAACTTCCTAGATAAATATATGGGGGAAAATATGACATTGGACTTGGCACTAATTTCTTGTTACAAAAGACAAAGAATTTGATGTCATTTTCTTAGATATGAAATCAAATGCATAAGGAAAAAATAATAGAGAAATGGGACTACATCAAACTTCAAAATTTCTGCCCATCAAAGGAAAAATTTAGTGGGGTGAAAATGCTGCCTAAGAAATGGGTGAAATATTTGAAAATCACATATTTGATAGGAGTTAATTTTCACAATATATAAACAATGTCTAAAACTCAACAATAAAATGTGAGTAGCTTAAGAAATGGACAAATAATTGAACTGGCATCTCTCCAAAGAAGATACATAAATGGCTTATAAGCATTTGAAAGGATGCTCAAGATTACTAACTTTTAGACCACTGCAAAGTAAAAATCACAGTAAAATATTACCTCAAACCCATTAGGAGAGCCATTAAGAAATGTAACCACCCTTCCAAAAAAATTGTTATGGATATGGAAAATTGAGAGGCCTTTTGAGTCACTGGTAGGCAAAAATGATGCAGCTACTGTAAAAAACATACTATGAAGGTTTCTCAAAAAATTAAAAATGGAATTACTATATAATCCAGCAAACATGGAAAATCCTATTTGATACTGTTCTTGGCAGTTATTTTTTGGGGTATGACACCCAAAGCACAGAAACAAAAGCAAACATAAATAAGTGGGACTGCATCAAACTGAAATTTTTCTGCACAGCAAAGAAAATAAAACAAGGAAACTTACAGGATGAAAAAAAATATTTGCAAGCCATGCATCTGATAAGAAGTTAATATCCAGAATATATAAGGAATTCACACAAATCAAAGGCAAAGACAATAAGAAGAATGATAATAAGAACTAAATTGAAAAACAGACTGAATGGATAGGTATTTTTCCAGTGAAGACAAAGAGCGAACAGGTATGAGAAAAGGACCTCAACATCACCAGTCATCAGGCAGGTGCAAACCAAAACGATGATAAAATATCACTTCACATTTGTTAGGATGGCTATTATCAAGTCACATGTATATTTTTTGGGTGATGGATACCCTAAAAGCACTGACTTCACCACCATGCAATCTATCTGTGTAATAAGGTTGCACTCATATCCCACAAATTCATACAAAAAGAATAGGGCTGGTTATGGTGGCTCACGCCTGTAATCCCAGCATTTTGGGAATCTGAGGTAAGACGACTGCTTGAGCAAAGGAGTGCAAGGCCAGCCCTGGCAACACAGTGAGACCCCTTATCTGATAAAAAAAAAAAAAAGAAAGAAATTTTAAGTATAAAAACATTTTTAAAAAGAGATAACAAGTGTTGACAAGTGTGTGATGAAAACAATCTTGTACATTGTTGGTGTGTTGTAAATTGGTAGAGTCATTATGAAAACCAGTATGGACATTCTTTAAAAAATAAAATTAGGCCAAGTACGGTGCCTCACACCTGTAATACCAGCACTTTGGGAGGCTGAGGTGGGCAGATCATGAGGTCACGAGTTTGAGACCAGCCTGGCCAACATGGTGAAACCCTGTCTCTACTAAAAATACAAAAATTAGCTGGACGTGGTGACAAGCGCCTGTAATTCAAGCTACTCAGGAAGCTGAGGCAGCAGAATCGTTTGAACCCGGGAGGCGGAGGTTGCAATGAGCTGAGATCGTGCCACTGCACTCCAGCCTGGGTGACAGGGTGAGACTCTATCCCAAAAATAAATAATATATTTATATTTATATTATATATATATTATTTATAAATTTTATATATTCATAAATAATATATTTATATTATTTATAAAATAAATAAATTAAATTTTAAAAAATTCCACATAATCCAGCAATCCCACTTCTGTGTATGTAACCAAAGGAAACTATTTCTAATATTTGCATCTCCATGTTCATTTCACAATTGCCAAGACCTGAAAACAAGAAAACACGAAGACATGTTTGTGGACACTGACTGGATAAAGAAAATATGGCATATATACACAATATAGTATTATTCAGCCATAAACAATCATGAAATGCTGCCAACATTTCAACGACATGGATGGACCTGGAAGACATTCTACTAAGTGAAATAAGCCAGACACAGAAAGAAAAATAATGCACGATCTCACCTCTATGTGTAATCTACAAAGGATGAACTCATAGAAACAGAGAGTACAAAGCTGGCTGACCCAGTCTGGAAGCAGGGAAAATGGGAAGATGTTCAATGAGTGCATACTGCCAGTCATGAAATGAATGAGTTTTGGGGATCTAATGCGTAGCATCATGGCTATAGTTAATCATAATGCTCTATATCAGGGGTACCCAGTCTTTTGGCTTCCCTGGGCCACACTGGAAGAAGAATTGTCCTGGGCCATGCATAAAATACACTAACACTAATCATAGCTGATTAGCTTTCAAAAATCTCATGTTTTAAGGAAAATTTGTGTTTGGCCACGTTCAAAGCCATCCTGGGCTGCATGCAGCCAGCAGGACACGAGTTGGACGAACGTGCTCTATATGTTTACATTTTAGTAAGACAGCAAACCTTCAGTGTTCTCACTACAAAAGAAAACGCTGCATGCTGGCTCATGCCTGTAATTCCAGCACTTTGGGAGGCCAAGAAGGGTGGGTCACATGAGGCCAGGAGTTTGAGACCAGCCTGTAATTCCAGCTACTTGGGAGGCTGAGGCACAAGAATCACTTGAACCTGGGAGGCAGAGGTTGCAGTGAGCCGAGATCCTGCCACTGCACTCCAGTCTATGTGACAGAGTGAGACTCGTCTCAAAAAAGAAAAAAAAAAACACAAATAACTCTATGAGGTAACAGATGCATTCATTAACTGTATTAATCATTTCACAATGTTTACACATACAATATCATTACATTTTACATAATAAATAGTTATATACTTTTAATTTGTGGAAAGTAACCACACGGTCCACACATGTATATGTGTGGGTATATTTGTGTGTATATGTACACACATCTCAACTAGTCCAATTGAAGAAGCTGGGAAAATAAAGTTTAAATTACCAATTTTAGTTCACACTGAAAATATAAAATGTAGAAATAAAATAATATTAGATTTTCTTATATTTAGGGAGATGCTTAGCATTATAAAAAAAATTACTGAATAGGAATTTCTGTAGAATCACATTTGAAAATGTTGTAAGGGGCTGGGCACGGTGGCTCACGCCTGTAATTCCAGCGCTTTGGGAGACTGAGGCGGGTGGATCACCTGAAGTCAGGAGTTCTAGACCAACCTGGCCAACATGGTGAAACCCTGTCTCTACTAAAATACAAAGGTAGCTGGGCGTGGTGGTGCACACCTGTAATCCCAGCTACTTGGGTGGCTTAGGTGGGAGAGTCGCTTGAACCCAGAAGGCAGAGGTTGCAGTGAGCCAAGATGGCGCCATGCACTCCAGCCTGGGTGACAGAGTGAACCTCCATCGCAAAACCAAACAAACAAAAAAATTTATTTTAAAAAAAAAGAAAGAAACCTCCATAAGAAATCATAAAGCAGAAAACATACCACATCTGTTTGTGGTGTTACTGGGATTTTGGAACCAAATATGGTTAACACTAATACTCTCACACATTTCAGAAATAATGCAAACAATAACAACAACAAAAACCCAAACCAAACCAAACCAAACCAAACCAAAACAAAAACCTTAAAAAAAAAGTTTAAAGGCCGGGCATGGTGGCTCATGCCCGTAATCCCACCACTTTGGGAGGCCGAGGTGGATGGATCACCTGAGGTCGGGAGTTCAAGACCAGCCTCAACAACTTGGAGAAACCCCATCTCTACTAAAAATACAAAATTAGCTGGGCGTGGTGGCACATGTAATCCCAGCTACTTGGGAGGCTGAGGCAGGAGAATCACTTGAACCCAGGAGGCGGAGGTCATGGTGAGCCAAGATTGTGCCATTGTACTCCAGCCTGGGAAACAAGAGCGAAAATCTCTCTCTCAAAAGAAAAGAAAAAAATAGTTTAACATAGAGTTCCTCAAAAATACACATATATTCCTGTGGCCTCTGAGACAATGAAAGGGCAGTCAGATAATAAAGTCTGTTATAAGCCAAGAAGAGGACTTTGGCTCTCACTGTAACCTCAAAGGAAGGCTACTTTTTAGAGAATTTAGGAGCATCAGACAGAAGATGCCTCTATGTGAGAGCAAGAAAAAATAACCACGCTCCTCAAAATCATCTCCATTGAAGCAGAGCCTCTCAAATAACTTTTGAAGCCCGTCTTCCCCCTTGGCCTTTGGAGCTTTCACCTGTGGCATGTGTTTCATTCATCCAACCTACCTGAGGGTTTAGCTATGGTCTCATGTCTCTTCACATTCCAGGGCTCCTGTCTTTGCTCCAGACAGCTAATCAGTTCTGGCTTAGAAACAGTCAGACCTGTTTTATTAGAAAAAAGTAATGTGATGCTTGCTGGGATTCTCCAATTACCAACCTAGTGTTGTGCTCTGTAGAGAAGACAGAATATTATAGATGATTCTAGAAAATTAATAATAAGGCCAGGTGTGTTGGCTCACGCCTGTAATCCCAACATTTTGGGAGGCCGAAGCGGGCAGATCATGAGGTCAGGAGATTGAGACCATCCTGGCCAACATGGTGAAACCCCATCTCTATAAAAATACAAAAACTAGCAAAGTGTGGTGGCACGTGCCTGTAATCCCAGCTACTTGGGAGGTTTAGGGAGGAGAACCGCTTGAACCCAGGAGGCAGAGATTGCAGTGAGCTGAGATCGCGCTACTGCACTCCAGCCTGGCAACAGAGTGAGACTCTATCTCAAAAAAAAAAAAAAAAAAAGAAAAGAAAATTAATAACAAAATAATATTTCTAAACAGAAAGTTTAGAATATTTTATATTTTTGGGTGTTTAGCTTCCCTACCCAATATTACTTAATCAAAAATTGGTGGTAGAAGTTGGATTTTAAGGTCTGGTCAATAATATTTTATAAAGGAATTTTTATAATGGAATTCCAAGAATTACCACTGAAGGCTGGGTATGGTAGTTCACACTAGTAATCCCAACACTTTGGGAGGCCAAGGAGGGTGGATCACTTGAGGTCAGGAGTTTGAGACCAGCCTGGCCAACACAGTGAAACCTCCTCTTTACTAAAAATACAAAAATTAGCTGGGTGTGGTGGTGGGTACCTGTAGTCCCAGATACTCAGAGGCTAAAACGGGAGAATCACTTGAACCCAGGATGTGGAGGTTGCAGTGAGCTGGACTGTACCACTGCATTCAAGCCTGGGCAACAGAGCTAGACTCTGTTTCAAAAAAAAAAATAAAATCAAACAAAAAGAATTACCACTAAACTAGAGCGAAAAATGCCCATCACCTCAAGGCAGAAGAAAGTTAATGTAAACATAAAACTTCTTGAAAATTTTCTTCTCTATCCCAACAAATCCCCAAGTTTTCCTTGAAAGCAGAGATCTAAAACTCATTTACACAAAGCAGAAATCCCCACCAAACGTTCTACAGAGGAAGAAAGTAAAATCTTTAGTGTGAAATAGGAATTGTGTATTGAAGTTCTTCTCACCCAGAGAGACCAGGTTTCTGTAGTTCTCTAGCATCACTTTCCTATACAAATTCTGCTGAGCAGGTTTCAGAAACTCCCACTCCTCCAAAGAGAATTCTATGGTCACATCCCTGAATGTCAACAGCTCCTGAAAAACAAAACAAAACAAAACATAGTGACCAACTGTGAATGGGCAGTTTTTGACTCCATGTGAAAAGAGAATTGCTGTGACTTATATCAGTTACTGGAATTATTCAAACCAGTTAAAAATACTGGTATTTTTAACAAAAATATTCTCTGATGTATTCTCTAACACTGAGGAAAGAAAATAGAATCCACGTGGCCAGGTTCGGTGGCTCATGCCTGTAATCCCATCACTTTGGGAGGCCGAGGCAGGCAGATCACCTGAGGTCAGGAATTCCAGACCAGCCTAGCCAACATGGTGAAACGCTGTCTCTACTAGAAATACAAAAATTAGCTGGGTGTGGTGGTGCATGCCTGTAATCCCAGTTACTCAGGAGGCTGAGGGAGGAGAATCGCTTGAACTTGGGAGGCAAAGGTTACAGTGAGCCGAGATCATGACACTGCACTCCTGCCTGGGCTACAAACCAAAAGGAAAACAGAATCCACAAAACCAATGTAGATACTTTTCTAAATAATCAGTATAAAATTAAGGGCATCAACACAGGCATATATAGTTTGAGTTTTATGTCTGCAGATTACAGAGTAAGTTGTAAATATTACTCATACAGAGAAGTCATGATGGTTTAGAAGGTATCTGTCAAATTTTAATGTACACAACAATGAACTACAGATCTAGTTAAAATGCAGTCTGATTCAGGTGATCTCAGGTGAATCCTGAGTTTCTGAATTCCCTTTTTTTTTTTTTTTTTTTTTGAGACGGAGTCTCGCTCTGTCGCCCAGGCTGGAGTGCAGTGGCTGGATCTCAGCTCACTGCAAGTTCCGCCTCCCGCATTTACGCCATTCTCCTGCCTCAGCCTCCCGAGTAGCTGGGACTACAGGCGCCCGCCACCTCACCCAGCTAATTTTTTTGTGGTTTTTTAGTAGAGACAGGGTTTCACCGTGTTAGCCAGGATGGTCTCGATCTCCTGACCTCGTGATCCGCCCATCTTGGCCTCCCAAAGTGCTGGGATTACAGGCTTGAGCCACCGCGCCCGGCCGAGTTTCTGAATTTCTAACAAGCTAGCCAGTGATACTAATGCATCCGAATCAAGAATATTTTGTCAAACAGAGCAAGTGGTTGAGCCTCAGTTTATCTGACTAGTAAACAAAGATAAGCCTTCATTTTCCAAAGCAAGCTTTAAGCAAAGAGAATCTAAAAAGAAAGGGGAGTTTGCAGATTAAATGTGATGGTTTATGTACAGTAAATCTCCCAAAGTACTTATGAATAATAAAAATAAAAATAATTAACTTTATAGTTTTAAAAAACCTGTCACAGACAGCCTTAACTTAGTGATCGAAATTAACATGAACTGGGCTGGGCATGGTGGCTCACGCCTGTAATCCCAGCACTTTGGGAGGCTGAGGTGGGCAGATCACGAGGTCAAGAAATTGAGGCCATCCTGGCTAACACGGTGAAACCCCATCTCTACTAAAAATACAAAAACTTAGCTGGGCATGGTGGCACGCACCTGTAATCCCAGCTACTCGGGAGGCAGAGGCAGGAGAATTGCTTGAACGTGGGAGGCGGAGGTTGCAGTGAGCTGAGATTGTGCCACCGCACTCAAACCTGGGCAACAGAGTGAGACTCCATCTCAAAAAAAAAAAGAAATTAACATGAACTACAACAGAACAAATTGATGTGCAGTATCAACACACATGGGTGGACACATCATCAGAGCTATGATATTATTGGCAACAAAAAGTAAATTATAATCTTAATCTAAGCATAAAGAAACACCTTTATGCAAAGTTCAAGCTACAGATATCTCCCAGGTTTTCTAACCTCTAATAATGTATTTGAATAGTCTTTCCTCAGCATTTTAGAGAGCAAGTCTTATCTAACTATTCTCTTTTCCAGAACCTTCTGAGTTATTCTGGGCAATTAGTGCCATCCTCTTTAAATGTGCATTTTAAAAATCCTGTTTCTGCATAGAGTTGATGGAACATCCAGATGAAACCTAAACAATACACATTCCCCCTTCACTAATATCTGAGGACCCTACACCATCCCTAAGAGAGATCTTAGGTATCTACACCTTTCCACATTGATGTGACACAAAGAAAACTTTATTTATTTATTTATTTATTTATTTATTTATTTATTTATTTATTTATTTATTTTTGAGACAGAGTCACTCTGTCGCCCAGGTTGGAGTCCAGTGAGTTGTGTGATCTCGGCTCACTGCAACCTCGCCTCCTGGGTTCAGGCGATTCTGCCTTAGCCTTCCAAGTAGCTGGGACCACAGGCACGTGCCACCACACCTGGTTCACCTGGTTAATTTTTTGGATTTTTAGTAGATACAGGGTTTCGCCATGTTGCCCCAGCTATTCTCAAACTCCTGGCCTCAAGCGATCCTCCCGCCTCAGCCTCCCAAAGTCCTGGGATTACAGGCATGAGCCACTGTGCCCAGTCACAAAGAACATTTTTATTCTTGCAGGTCATACACTTGATGGTGAGAACTGGTCATGGTATGTAAGAAGCCTAGATAGAAAGAATAAAGGAGAAGGCTCCGTTATATAAAACAGAAGAAGCCTCTCACACAACTGCAGCAGGTCAGAGGACAAGATCTGGAAATTTTCAAGGACCACACTTTGAAGGGTAGGGCTCTAAGATGTTGATGCTGACCTGCCATGATGCAGAACATGTTTCCTATGGGCTTTCTGTACATTCTCAATCCGAAGTCAGGCCCTGTCTCATGAGTCCCAGAAGCCAGTGCTTATATGTAGGTTCTAGTGACATCAACCTGGCTGTACATTATCAGGTGTTATAGCATGCTGCGCAAAACCAGAGAAGAGATCCTGTCATGGAGATTCCTTTAACACATTAGAAATGATATGTCAACCAAAAAAAAAAAAAAAAAAGAGGTCAAATTAATATAAGTGGAGAGTTCATACGTGCCACATTTGAGAACAGCAAGAACAGCAACCCAGAAGCATAGATTCAAGTTGGCTTGAATATACACTTTGAATAGCAGCAGTGAGAAGCGGATTTTTTTTTTTTTTTTTTTTTTTTGGAGACAGTCTCACTTTGTCACCCATGCTGGAGTGCAGTGGCATGATCTCAGCTCACTGCAAACTGAACCCTTGGTTCAAGCAATTCTCCTGCCTCAGTCTCTTGAGTGGCTGTGATTACGGGCATGCCCGGCTAATTTTTTTTGTATGTTTAGTAGAGGCGGGGTTTCGCCATGTTGGCCAGGCTGATCTTGAACTCCTGACCTCAAGTGATCCACCCACCTCAGCCTCCCAAAGTGCTTGGATTACAGGCATGAGCCACCGTGCCCAGCCAAGAGGTAGATTTTTAAAGGTAAAAAAGGGGAACAGAAAGTGGGCTGATACAAAGTTCTTTATCAAGGATTCTCATTAGTTTACAGGAATAACATTGATTAGTGATTGGCTATATAGGGTTAAGCTAGAAGGTGTGGGCTATAGTGTCCTGTGTGACATTATTAGATTAATTTATAGCTATGTGTGGCAGTAACAAGCAGTTTCAAGAGATGAATACATTGCTCAAAGGAGAAGTAGGACATAATTCTGGATTCATTTGAATGTCTCTCTGGGCCCGATAACTAACAGAACTTGCATCCCTCAGATAAAAGCTCTTTTACTTTCTCAAATCCCAGGGTCTGGATTCAAATTTGGGGTTTCCGATTTAGGTTTCAGAGGTGTGGGGAAGCAGCAGGTGCCCTCTGCACGTTTGCAGGCATTTGTGCAGGAGCAGGAAACACTGTAAATTCTTAGGTCTATTCAATGCATATGTGTAACCCTGACAGGGTTTCTAGGCCCTAATTGTCTCTGAATTCATTTCAGATCTGAAGATGCCAGGGACATTGAAAGAGGTGGAATGGCTGATTGCTGCCCTGTAAAGTTATTTTTGTAGAAATCTGACCTGACTGCTCTACAAGGGACTATAGAACACAAATAGGCAGAGAGACCATTTTGCCTGCAAATTTGGGGTTTGCACAATTGCGGGTTGTGACTGGAAGCCCAAGAGGGAAAGAGCCTCTAGGGTGAAGTCTGATGGGTACCTCCTATGTTTATATCATACCTGGTCTTTTCAGACAGTGTTTTGAAAATGTAATTAAAACCACAATCATCTCCAACCCTAGAAAAACTCTCCACAGTGGCAGAACAGAAAGCAAAAACTGTATGATTACACAATTAAGCCAGAGCGTGACATTAATTGCAGGCAATTTGCTAAGAGATCGCAAAGACAGAAAGAACGTTGTCATAATTAGACCTCAAGAAGACGACGTGACAGCACTCACTTGTCACAGTTTATCCTAAATCCACCTGGGAATTGGAGAGGTCAGTTGATTATATTCTATAAAAGATAAACTTCCCGCATCTTCATGACAGGAGGTAGTTTTGCAACTTGGAGTGAAATTCAGGTACCTGGTGAAGGTAGGATTTTACTCCTCTATAGAAACTGTGGTGCCAGGTGCGGTGGCTCAATACTGTAATTCCAGCACGTTGGGAGGCGGAGGTGGGCAGATCACCTGAGATCAGGAGTTCGAGACAAGCCTGGCCAACGTGATGAAACCCCGTCTCCACTAAAAATACAAAAAATTAGCCAGACGTTGTGGCGGGCACCTGTAGTCCCACCTACTTGGGAGGTTGAGGCAGGACAATCGCTTGAACCTGGGAGGTGGAGGTTGCGGTGAGCCGAGATCACGCCATTGCACTCCAGCCTGGGTGACAGAGGGAGGCTCCGTCTCAAAAAAAGAAAAAAGAAACTGTGGAAGAGGGATCTATGTTCTTGGCTATTTATATATTAAATCAATGGTTCCTGACTCAGAGTGCTGGGCCATGGTGCTCCTGCCCGTGAAGCTTAGCCTACAGCCTGCAGCCCACACAGACCCTCACTGCTACATCTGCGCTCCAGCACCATGCCACAGAGCAGAGCCCTGGGCTGCAGGAGGAGGCACTCCTGGTTAGAATTATATTTTCACAATAATGGAAATGAAA